TAATTGTGATCTGAATTGATTGAAAAGACATAACATGAGAATACGGTGATATAAAATGTTTTGATAATATTAAACTTTCATATCAACATTTTAAATCAAGTCATGTAAATGTACCATTGGTTAAAATTAAATGGTATTGTGTACTTGAGCTTTATCATTAATGGTTCCACCGTTATGTGTTCGAGACAAGAAGCCGTCTTGTGGGTAAACACTAAACTAATGCATTGGAAGAAAATTGATCTAATTCTTCTATAATAAACAGCACAATGAAGAGTAATTAGTCTTTGAGTTTGCTAAAAGTCAATATAACAATACACTAGTGCTATCCTTGCGCCAAATAAGAAATTTGACAAATGTTTGAGTTTTGATTTTGGGAATAATCATTTTTAATGTGATCTTGTTTTTTTGTTTGTCAACAGATCATGTAATTGTATTAATGAGGACGAGCGTGCTAAATCACTTTACACTCGATCTTCGAGATTTTTCTAAAACTAAAAGTGCCCCGACAGTTGAAACCAACTTGAAGTTGAATCGATGTATTTTCGGACGCCGATTCCGAATCACCCCCATGAGTCATGACATAATAAAATGCACCAAGATATTGGCGAAATATGTCTCGATCACGTGATATGACCGTATAAGTAAGTTGGTCTAATTTTTCGTTAGAGTTAGGGTTTCAGCATATGCTTTTGTTAGGGATTAAGTTAGGGTTAGGGTTGGGATCAGATTAGAGGGTTAGGGTTTCGAATAGTCGTTCAGGGCCAGCTAGAGAACGGGTTGAAAAAGTCACATGACAGTCGAGTGTAGAGTGATTAATCATCATCCCAAGATGCACAGTGCACACTAGAACATATTACCGGACACCGGTGTGATTGTCGTGCCGACCACACCTACAAACAGTGGCGAGTGTTGCGAAATTTTCATAATTTGCGTAAATACTTTATCTACTCGCGTCCAGGGGTGATTCAGTAGATGTTTTTTTTATTTTACTTTCCCCAAGTTCGGATCCATAATAGCGTAAAAGTTAGGTGCGTGCGGAAATTCACATCGATAAATAATACTGTTCGTAGAAGACTACCCGGAGTAGGCCGTGAATTGTATATTGTTTATGGTCCTAAAAATAGATTAAAACATAATCTTCATTTTAGGTGAGTTTTGACTTTTGCATAATTTAAATAATAATTATGTCATAAATATTTTGAAAACAAAAAAAAGGAATGTGGATGACTTTGCTATTGTGAACTTATTAATATCCACGTCTCTTCAAAAAATGATATAATAAGACTATTGTCTAAATATTTATACAATCAAATTCTTGAGTCGTTTTTATTTGTCGTAAGTTAAGACAACAAAAGCCTACACTTTCTTTCTCACAATGCGTGAGGTATTTCTACGGTGCTTTACAAAGGAAATGGAATTAGCTTTGAAGATCTGAGTTCACCTCGTTCAACAAATTCAAACGGACTGCTCACTGCTCACATATTTGTCTCGAAGACACATTTCATCTTGTGAGCTTTTCTAAAGTGTTTAGTAAACACTTTAGAAAAGCTCACAAAACACTGTTTACTGTTTATTGCATATTAATATCGAAACCTCGGGTTATAAGAGAAAATGTTTGAGATTTATTCCTAAAATCGAGATGGACATGTTCATTGAAGTTTGAGGATATTGGTAAATTAAAAAGCATATTAATAGCATATATCAATCTAACATGTTCAGACGTTCTGAACATAATATGCACTGCTCAGAAAGAAAATCTATCGTTGTTAGGCACTACAATGGTTAAATGTCACATTTTTGTGACTTAGTTAACTGTAGCTGCCCAATTAGTATTCCTTAGTCTAAAATATGGTAGATTAGGTCAATCTAACAATAAGGATACAACATTAGTCAAAGGGCACGGATCGAGCGGTTATAAGGCAATATTTCGTCAACTTTGTCACACTCAGAATATGGTACCCCTTTTCTACTGTGAGGTGTTCTCAAAACCCTTTCAACTTATTATTTGATGAATGTTCTACCGATCATAGCCCCAAAATATGTTGTCCTGAAAATTTAGCTAATGCCTAATACAGGTACTTGGTTATTGGGAAATGAGGTAAATTTTGTCACATTATATGGAATTTGAAATTTTGAGTGAATTGCCGGAATCACTTATATCTGATTTTGGTTTGAAAGGCGGGAAAACTCTATATAAGGACGATACAGTTGATTCAAGTTAAGGGCAGTTGATGCGAGCATTGTCACAAAAATGATACGAAATCGTTAATTATAGGTTAAATTTCGAAACAATGATAACCATACCTCGATTAAAATTCAATACTGTTCCAGAAATTATTGGTAGGTTATTATTTAACAAATCGGAACTCAAGTTTAACAATGCTGAGGTTAAATTTGCTAAGTTTTCGAAATGTGACAAAATTCACTTTTCCTGCCCCAACAGTAAAAATTCAATACTGATAATGGGTTTAAATCAGTTCAAACTATAATAAGGACAGTCGATGTGAAATAAAATGTATCTAACTTTTACAATGACGTATGTATTATGTAATGAAATTTACATTTCTTGCCCCTATTTTGAAGAATCATACCTTGATCAGAATTTAATGTTAGAAAAAAGTAGTAATGTAGATAATTGTCATATGGAACTATCCTATGAACTTAAAATTCGAAAATTTGGCCAAACACAGCAGCAAGGGGCCATGTTAACTCTGTCACGTTTTTATAGTGTGACAATGTTGGCATCTCACTGCCTGCCGAATTTAAGCGATATCTTATCATCTGATAAAGATATCGTTATGTGACAAAGTTTACCTAGAGGATGAGACGATTATCCTAACCATGGAGGGTTTATATAGTTTAATAGTTTGACAAATTTTACCTCATCGTGCCATTTAATAGGGACACTAATATTTACCAATATCCTCAAACTTAAATGAACGTGTCCATATTATATTCCTTTTTTATTCTTCCTCGGCAGTCTAAGGTTTAGCCGATTTTAATCAATCGTCCGACCATCATTTTGATTTGATGGACGTTCTAAAATCTCTATCTCAGCATTTAACCCTATTCTATTCGTTAGAACGGCTACAAACATGAGGATGCACCCGGACTTAGATCCACAGATAAACGACTCTAAACCCGTCGCACCTTCTTCAGCGGTGTCATCACCACTATCTGCATCATCTGTCTCCCCTGCTAGTAGACATTCCTTCTCACTGGCCTCCTCGGTGGTGTCATCATCACTATCCTCATCACCAAGTCTCACTCCTGATAATCTTGTAATCAAATTCAATTTCACGACCAAAGGCCCAACAGAACACACATTTATGCCACCCACAGAACCTGAACACCAATTCTTGCCAAACGCAGATATCATCATCGCAATTCTTTCAATTTTATTGGTCACTATCGGATTATTTGGAAACGCTGCCTCATTTCTTTATTTTACAAGGAAACGATCAAAATCGCTACCATCTCATCTTTATGCGGTAATAACTGCATTTGATGCAGCCATGGCGCTCATAGCCTTCCCCGTCATCGGCTCACTCATCAACAACAGACAAAAAACAATCATATTTGACGAATATATCCTGTGTGCCATCTGGGCGGTGTTGTTCTACTTTCTGAAGAGAGTGTGCGCGATCTTGGTTATGGTGGTGACTCTCACTCGGACAATAGCCACAGTTCTCCCATTTCGGACATTGAGAATTCGTTGGTTTTCAGTTGCAATATCAATCTATGCAGTTTTTATCTGTGTAGTAGATGTGCTTTTTCTCTCGACAGGTTGGTTTAAGGCTCGCTACCGAAACAAAGAATCCATGTGCGAGATTTATCAAAACCGTTTCAAATCAAACCACATCCTCACTGGTGTCTATTCGATTGTTCTGCAAATTGAACTGCTACTTCCAGTTGTGATAATCATTTTCAATTTCGTGATTTGCACCGTGACCCTTGCAAGGCAACGATCTGAATTTCTAATAGGGAAAAGAGAACAATTCAGGAGAGTCACGATCACAATCGCTCTTTTCACTTTACTTTTCCTTGTATGCAATCTCCCGGCGTTCATGGTACAATTAGATTATTTGGTCTCCGCTCGCTCCAACAAAGAGAAATACATCAAGGACCATAGAGAAGGGATGTTTACCGGCTGGTACACTCACCTCCTCTCACACTTTCTTCTCACTCTCCTGAATGTAGCTTTAAATCCATGCCTTTATCTCCTACGAATGTCCGAGTTCAGAGGGTGGCTTGTCAATAAGAAAGATCATCCAAGAAGACGAAGGAGAGGAACATCTTTGAGATCAATACGGCAAAGAGATAGTACATTGATGTCGTTTAGTACTTCAGTCTCATCGTTTGCTTCGCAGGTATACATTCGTGTAAGCAGGATTAGTGTAATCACAATGCAAATGATGCAAAATGAAGCAAAATGAAGCAAAATTGTCCCTCACTCTTTTATATCGATCAGTCGATCACTTCTTTCAAGAACACACTAGTTTCAGCAAATTATCACTTTTACCTCAGAATAAAGACGATAATTCCAAATCAGTATTTGGATTACCCGTGAACAATATGTTAAGCTATTTTATGAAGGGATCAGGTGACCAATCTGACCATGGGGCCGGGACTCGTCGATGTGAGACTCTTGAATTCAAGAAAGAATCAATAACTGGAAAAGACAATTTGAAGCTTCGCTCCAAGGCTACTGCTCTCTGAGTCACGGTATAAGGAATTCCCCACTCACTCCACTAATGTTAGTTAATTTTCTTGAAATGATTAGTTAGTTTTCTTTAGAATTCAAGAAAACTATTACTAACGAATTTCCAATTCATAATGTGATATCTGTAAGTTTAGCTTTAACGCGTTAGCTTTAGTTTTAGTAACGAGTGAATATTTTTCTCACATTAGATATTTACTACCATATTCTTCTCGTGTATTTGAAAATTTTCCTCTAATAATTGTTTTAAACTAAAAAAATTTAAAGAATAAAAACTTACCTATCTTGTTAGACTCTAAATGATTTGTATCACGGAATTGTTTTACTCGCTCCCCCAATCGTATTGCTTCTTCTTCTGCTAATTCTCTGATAAATATACAAATCAATCACGTGACAGTGATTAGCCAGTCAGCTTCCAGCATTGACCAATAAATACACAAAATAATTAAATCTCTACAAACTTTTGCTTTTTGGTTTCCAGATATTTGATTTTCAACTCCTCCAACTCCTTCAAATTCCGACTCAGCTGTTCCTTCTGAGTTGTAACCCTCTCGTGGAAATCGTTAAGGTCTCTCTTGTACCTTTCCCGTTCCATTTCGTGTTGTTGTTTTAACTCGTCTATTGCTGTAACCAAGGTTTCTGAACGCAGTTCTGATTGGTAAAGCTTCCTGTTCACCTCTTCAAACTGAAAATAAATGAATTATTCACCATGAGGCTAGCAACGTTTTCTTTTAAAGATTTGCGTTCTTTTGCCAAACAATGTGGCTCAACCGCCTATACTATGCTATAGTTATACTATGCTATAGTTATACTTATACTATGCTATATTAGTTATACTATGCTATAGTTATACAGTAAAGCTTGGTGGAAATGCAAAAGTTGGGGTCCGCAGTAAATCGGGGTTAGCGGTGAATATGGGCACGGTAAATCGGGGTTAGCGATAAATATGGGCACGGTAAATCGGGGTTAGCGGTAAATATGGGCACGGTAAATCGGGTTAGCGGTAAATATGGGCACGGTAAATCGGGGTTAGCGGTAAATATGCGCACGGTAAATCGGGGTTAGCGGTAAATATGGGCACGGTAAATATGGGCACGGTAAATCGGGGTTTATTATAAAAAGTACTCACATCAACTTTATTCTGATTGATAACCCCGAGTAGGTTACTCCTCTCTTCTGCATGGTTAACCTCCTCAACCTCCCCAGTAGCACCACTCAACTGTCCCTGTAACTGTTACCAAACGTTATGATATATGTCATGAGTTTGATTGGAGAATTGTTGACGTTCATGCTGATCGGAGGTATGATGAAAGTATTTTGCACTTAATAGTGGAGTGACTGACTATTGGCCATGTATTCTCTTTGAGAATTGAATACATAATGACGTTTATTTAGCACTTTAAAGACAATTCCTGGAAGCTGGACTATAATATAAAGCTATATGGGCTATAATATAAAGTATTTTTGGCAACTGTTTTGCACTAGTGAGGTGGAATCCCTGAAATTACAAGGCTTTGTTTTAGCAGTTTACCTTCCTGTTCGGACCACCTCGTATCAGCTGATCAATAAAAAATGTTTATGGCTGTTTTAAGCACCAGAATTATTGGCATGATAGGGCCCTATGATGACAACATTGGGCGATAAGTAATAGTGAATTTTAGGGCCTTAAATAGATTATGGTGAATTAAATATGACGATTGCAAAGAAATCAATCTCTTACTTACTTTTGCGTTTTCGAGATTCAACTGTAAAATTTCACTATGAAGCTTTTCGGTGTTAGAGTTGTTTAGTTTCTCTTCGATAGTTCCCTTTTCTTTTGCCAAGGTTACAAGTTCTTGTTCTTTGTACTGAACCGTGTTGCGGGCCACCTGAGTTACTTTTTGTCAATTGGAATCTTATTGAATTTATGATACAGAGGTAACACAGGTCAAAAACAATCACACATATTATTATTGATAGATATACACGCTCAAATGTACCTGGAGAAGAATAAATTACAAGGTAAATGTGCAACAATTAAACCAGAATTTTCTAAAATTAAAACATGAGTGAACAAGATCATTCGCATAAAATTAGGAACTTGAAGTCGACAATGTAAATTATCAGGTGTTCCGTACCTGTAAATGGTTACGAAGCTGGTCCACCTCGGTAAGTAAACCCTCGTGACCACAGTTCTTCCCGGACATCATTGTTTTGTGTCTTTTCTTCAACGTCTTTATTTCGTCCTCAAGTTCTCCCTGTGACAGTATTTGCAGGTTTTTTTGGAGCTCGGTGAGACTTACAATTATATCAGAGTGCAGGTTTTCTGACAGCTATTTTTAAATATAGATGAATGATCGGTTCTTTTGCGATAGTCAAAACGCGACAACTAGCGCTGGATGGCGACAACTAGCGCTATCCAGCGCTAGTTGTCGCCATCCAGCGCTAGTTGTCGCTATCCAGCGCTGGATAACGCTGGCCAGCGCAAAATATATATGTTCGATAATTGTCGCTATCCAGCGCTAGTTGTCGCCATCCAGCGCTAGTTGTCGCCATCCAGCGCTGGATAACGCTGGCACGCGATAGTTTGCGATGGCCAGCGCAACTGGCCATCGCAGAAAACAGTTCGATAACTAGCGCTGGATGGCGACAACTAGCGCTGGATAGCGACAACTAGCGCTGGCCAGCGCTGGCCAGCGCTAAGCGATAGCCAGCGCTGGCCATCGATATCCAGCGCAAAATTTTTGCGCTATTACTCGTCAGCTAGCGCTAACCAGCGCTGGCCAGCGCTAGCCAGCGCTAACCAGCGCTAACCAGCGCTAGCCAGCGCTAACCAGCGCTAACCAGCGCTAGCCAGCGCTGGCCAGCGCTAGCTGACGAGTAATATCGCAACTATATTGCGCTGGCCAGCGCTGGCTGACGAGTAATACTATTACTAATATCAAGCGTGCTAAATCACTCTACAGTCGATCTTCGAGATTGTTCTAAAAGGGCCCCCGATGGTTGTGTCCAACTTCAATCGATGTATTTTCGGACGCTAATTCCGATTCAACCCCCATGGGCCCATGACATAGGGTTAAAATGCTCTCCTGACGAGATATTGGCGAAAAACTGTAAGTGTACATGTATCGATCACGTGATATGACCGTATAAGGAAGTTAGTCTAATTTCTCGTTATTGTTAGGGTTTCAGCATATGTTTTTGTTAAGGATTGGGTTAGGGTTAGGGTTGGGATCAGATTAGACTTAAAGGGGTGGGGTTTCGAAAAGTCGTTCAGAACCAGCTAGAGTCAGAGAATGGATTAAAAAAGGCACGTGACAGTCAAGTGTAAAGTGATTAATCATCATCCGAGTAATATCGCAAGTATATGATTTTGATACATTGCGCTGGCTAGCGCTGGTTACCGCTGGCTAGCGCTGGCTAACGCTGGCTAGCGCTGGATAGCGACAACTAGCGCTGGCTAGCGATGGCCAGCGCTGGCTAGCGCTGGATAGCGACAACTAGCGCTGGCTAGCGCTGGCCAGCGCTAGCTGACGAGTAATAGCGCAAAAATTTTGCGCTGGATATCGATGGCCAGCGCTGGCTATCGCTTAGCGCTGGCCAGCGCTGGCCAGCGCTAGTTGTCGCTATCCAGCGCTAGTTGTCGCTATCCAGCGCTAGTTATCGAACTGTTTTCTGCGATGGCCAGTTGCGCTGGCCATCGCAAACTATCGCGTGCGACAGTGTCGCATAGCCAGCGACAACTAGCGCTGGATAGCGACAACTAGCGCTGGATGGCGACAACTAGCGCTGGATGGCGACAACTAGCGCTGGATAGCGACAATTATCGAACATATATATTTTGCGCTGGCCAGCGTTATCCAGCGCTGGATAGCGACAACTAGCGCTGGATGGCGACAACTAGCGCTGGATAGCGCTAGTTGTCGCCATCCAGCGCTAGTTGTCGCGTTTTGACTATCGCAAAAGATCAGCTATCGCAAAAGATCAGCTATCGGCCACTTTGTGTTTATACAGCATGTTAGACCGACCTTCTTGATCTGGGCAGCTCGCTCTTTGTCCGACAAAAGCCGTTCTCTCAGTTGCAACTCGTGTTTTACAGAGGACAGCTGTTCGTTCTTATCGTCCAGTGTTCTTGTTAGATTCTCCTCTTTTTGTCTAAGTTCTGTAGGATTACTATTAGAGGATATTTAAGGGAGGTGGTAAGGTTCCTGTTCCACCAGTCTATTTTGAGACGAAATGAAACATTTCTCTAATTCTTGGTCAGAAAACGTGACATTTTAAGAATTTGATTGATCTACCGACTATCACATTACTATAATTAATTATGATACATAACTCGAGATAATAATGCCCTTTTAAATCGACAAAAGGATTCTGAAAAATAAAACATAGTTTTTGAGGAGAACTCACTATCAACCCAGTTCTGTTCGTGTTGCAGTTTTTTACTGATGCTATCTCGTTCACTTACTACCGTTATGTGCTGCAAATAATAGAATCAGAATATTTAAACTTTTTTAGGTTAAAAGGTTCAGGATCAAGTTCAGGGTCAGGGTAAAGTTTAGGGTAAGGGTAAGGGTAAGAACAGAATTCCACTGTAATTTGTTTCAACGGTTGATTCCACTGGAATATCGTCATACTCGAGCTGGGCTTTACGGTTTACCTGCTGTTGAATCTGTCTTATTTCGTCTCTCAGAACATTCAGCTCGTCAATAACCAGCTCCACTTCGATAGCTTGTTTGGTAGGATCCTGAAAAGGTGAAAGATTCATTATCTACATACCACTAAACGGGATAAACTAGTGATTTCAACTAAATAATATGCAGTTATCAACGATAATTTGTCTTTAAATTTATCAGTCACAATTAAGATAAAGAAAACAATCCTATTTCTCACCGGGCTATTGAGAAGCTCCTTAACTGCATTATGTAGATTATCGTAGATTTCTTTAGCTTTAGAACTGTCCACGTTTTTAACCTTAGCCGCCTGGAAATGTTAGCTCAAATTACAATCTGCTTTCATTTCAAGAACTTTATTATTATCATAAATACTCAGAAACCTTGGCCATTCACCACAAAAACCTGTACTATTATATTATTGGCCATAACCTGTATATTGGCCAACATTAAATAATAGTAAAATAAATTAAAAAATAAAAACAAAATAGCCTAAACTGATCGATATAATAATAGCTGTTTTGTAATTTGTAGAACAACCTGAATGAAGCCTTGCATCTCAGAAAGTGCACCTTCAATGGAATGAATTCTTCTTTCCATTACTCTTTTACCTTTCTCTCCCTTAAGAATCGTCTCTGAAATATTAATTAATGTAATCAGTCATGGCTATTTTGCATTCAGACAGCGAAGAGTCAACATACGCGAGGAGCTAATCTTCTTGCAATATGTTCATGTCAAACATATGGTGCAAACTATCGAAATAGTAGGGGTCTGTAGGGGTCCCCACTTCCCTACTATTTTAATAGCTTACGCATACATAATATGTGGTGTATAGTATTCCACTATACTAGGTGATTAGTCCAACGAACACTTGTGTGTTAATTTGCAGTCGGAACCATGGGTATCTCTCACTTAAACCAGGCATTATCGTTTTTATTGTTTAATACTGATAGAAGAAATTTAATCGGCTGTATTTTTGTTAATTTACATTTTATTTTTTGTGTTACGTTAAAATTTGTAAGCTTGGAGACTTTTCTTAATTTAATGAACAAATTAATATTTGACAATTGAAATCAGCATGTCACATCGGTGGCGTGTAGCTGTGATCGTCTAGTGGTTAGGACACTGCGTTGTGGCCGCAGTAACCCAGGTTCGAATCCTGGTCGCAGCACTTTTAGGACCGACAATTGCATCTGTAATCAATATTAAACCGCCAATAATAAGGTCATATTTTTAATGAGTTAACAGGCTTTTTTAATGATATTAACGGTCACTGATACCAACCTCTTAATTGTCGTATCTCTTTATGACTGGACTCCAGATGCGTCTTGGCGCTTGTAAGTTGTGAAGTCAAGCTTGAAGTTTCGTTCTCAGCGACATATAGTTTCTGAAAGAGTCTTTTAATTACCTCTTGACAGTATGATAGATAAGGATCGATTGGTGACGAAAAAATCCCTCCTCAACTGACATCGAGTGGTATTAAACCGTCAATGTTCTTTGTGATGATTCTTGTCAGAGTAAATTTCTCTTATGTAATCGAATGAGTTGCACTCAGCAGAACGGTTGAATACTGGATACTGGACAAAACTGTGATTTAAATGTCTCATCATGATTCATGCATATTGTATAGTGCCATAAATGGATCACACAGCATACTGCTGTCATACTGGATGTTTTCGATGAAATTTTGCTTACTTTTTACATCATCAGAGACTTCGCGCGCGCCGTTAATAATTTCAGAAGACCGTATCAGGTGAGATATTGCCCCACACGAGGTCGAGCACAAACATGCTTTCAAATGTTACCAGATAATAAAGATTGAACATATTCATGGCAAATTATAAAAATATATTTATGTTAGACTGGTGGCGTGAGATCGTTGGTAAATCTTCGTTCTTCCTCAATTAATTATTAAATGCAACAATTTTCCGAAAATAAGCTCCATCTTATTACAGCTTAAATGCATTTATTGGTACTAATTAATTGCATAATTAGTGTCTTTCAAACTCACCTCTTTAAGTTGTTGACTCAATTCATGGGCACTTCGTATCTCCGTGTTAATAGCTTCTATCTTACGTTTGTTGTTACCTGAACATGAAATAAATATCACTTTGTGTTTTAAATATTTCACAGAGGCGGACGCCCCACAAATGTTAGAGGGAAAAACTAAAATTTTGGATGAATGTTACAATGCTAACTCTAAGTCAGCATGTGCAACTTGCTGCTTAATTATTTTGTACAATATCTTATTTCTATCCACAACTCATAATGTCCGATTTCTATTCACAAACGGGTATTCATTATTCAAGAACGCCCCATGTTATATCAAAATGCACATAAATAATAAATCTTCCCATTTCCGCTAAAATATGGCATTACGATAATTTAAATCATGCTGAATTTTCGTCAACGAAACTAACTAACTGATTATTTGGTTGCTTTCCAAGACAAAATGTTTCAGTTTCTCGATATTATCGGGGAGAGATATGTTAGTGTATAAGTGCTTCATTTCTGTTCCGTTAAACACCTCTATCGTACAAATACTCTGAAATAATGTTAAATTTGAGATTATCAACGAAATTATCTTAGAAATTATTAATAATTAAGGATATTGAGGATATTGAGGATATTGAGGATCTTCCACACATTGTACCTCTTTGCTCTTAGTAATTTCTTCTTCATAACATTCCAGTTGTACAATATTTTCGTTCAACTCTCTTCTTATCTCATCGATGTTCTGGAATGTTTTAGCATTATTTCATAAATCGTCTTGTTGTTTTTCTCGTTTAGATTATACAGAAGTTTGACGAATGATTATTAATTATTTGGTTGTAAAGTGTGATCTAAACTATACCTGCATGGTGATTTCTGCGTCTTTTTCCGAAGTAATGGCTCGTTTTTGACAATCAAGTTGAGTTTCTTGGGCTTTTAGCAAACGTTCCTCCAACTGTTTAATCATCTGAAGAACCGATATCATGAACACGTATATCTTTATAGAAAATTAAGTGATAATAATGTGAATTGTGAAATTAAGTGAATTGTGAAACCAAGTGAATTGTGAAACCAAGTGAAACTAAAATGTTATTATGTACATTAGTCTCCAAAGAAATTTCTTGTTTTTGACGATCAAGAGCAGTTTCTCGAGCTTTTACCAAACGTTCTTCTAATTGAGTAATCATCTGAAGAACCGATATCATGATTACGTGACCTTCAATGAAATGTGGTATTTTTATCCAATTATCCTGCTCATATAATTATCCAACAACAGAACACAAGGAAACCATGTCAGAGTGGCTGACTGTGAGTGATGTGAGCAAATGAGAAATGTGAATAAAAGCATAACTTAAAAAGGCAAAGACTGCACCTAGGTGGTAGTTAGTTTTCAACAAACGCACAAGATTTGCTATATTATGACGAGAACAGAAACTGAATAAACTCACGTTTTGATGTTGAGATATGTGGTGCTCAAGTATCTTAATCTCCCCTTCCTTCTCATCAATAGTATTGTCTTTAGATATTATCTGAAGTTTTAATACTTTCAACACTACTAATTACTATATAACAAACAAACAAACAAACAAACGGATATTATCTGATGGTGCGATATTATAGCAGTCAAACAGATTCACCAGACTTCAAAACGTTTGAAGAAGAATATTTTGCAGTTTATCAAACGAAGACCAGAGGTATTTTGTGATGGTACTCTAGTTTATCACTTTGAAGATCAACAATTATAGAACTGTACTACTCAAGTGTCAAATTATACGAACTTATTTATCATATTAAAAGATTTAGTCTTATCTAAGTTAACTGATAATTTATTATTTACAAATTAGTAAACTATTAACTAACTTTTTCCATGAGTTCGTCTATCTTGCTCGCAAGTTGTTGTTCCCTAACTTTGTTTTGGTCGTCCTGCTTCTTCAGCAGAGTCTGCAAGGTCTCGTCCTCGTTTGTCATTTGTCTCAACATTTCTTGTTTACTGAAAGCAACATACGCGAACGGTCAGTGAACGGTCAGTTAATGGTCAGTGAACGGTCAGTTAATGGTCAGTGAACGGTCAGTTAATGGTCAGTGAACGGTCAGTGAACGGTCAGTGAACGGTCAGTGAACGGTCAGTGAACGGTCAGTGAACGGTCAGTGAACGGTCAGTGAACGGTCAGTGAACGGTCAGTGAACGGTCAGTGAACGGTCAGTGAACGGTCAGTGAACGGTCAGTGAACGGTTAGTGAACGGTCAGTTAATGGTCAGTGAAAAGGTAGGTTAATGGTCGGTGATTTGTTGTCAATGAACTGTTAATAAATGCACAGAGAAAGTTAAAGATAAGAAAGTTCGATATAAGAATTTGAAGGCTTGCTAAACTAGGGTTTTAAACAACATACATACTGAAGGGAAAGGAAGCAGTTCTAACGAGCTCTTCTCAAAACACAAGGATATAACTTGTGAACTCGGCTAGTATATATGAAACATTTGTCATGGAGTTGTAGAGGGAGTTATGTGCCTCGCCGGGCTAAAGTAGTGGATGACCTTGCTGTACGGCAAGTTAAACAAGGATCTGAAACTACTAGGTTCCGTACAGACTCAACTCTGCACCCGTGTCAATATGTTCATTATATGCAAGCCTCTTGATTTATAATGCTATTACAGCCAGGGTTTCAAAAACACAATATTTCAAAAACACAGTATTCAATATTTGACGGTACTTACTCTCCCTTCAGCATTCCTATTTCCTCCTTTAGATGTTCCTGAAAAATATGATTCAGTTTAAATTTAAAATTCGTATTTTATAAATTTGATTGGCCGTCAAGTGTACTGTGTAGTTTGATTGACTTTTAAAATCCAGAGATATGATACATAGTACTTAAACGTAAACAACACTCAGATCTAATACATTACAAGATACAGGCTGCCTCCCGATAATTTTCAGTTTTAAAAATCAATTCATTAGAAAAGATTTAAATTACAATTTATTTTGGTTTTTGTATGCAGCCAAAAAGTATTAGTAAGCAACCTAACTATCGTTTTGATTGTACAATGTATACCATGACCATGTACAATGTCTACGGCGTTTCCAATTCCCGCTGAAGGGAATAAATCTATTTTTAATTGTCTTGATGATAATCGATATACTTGCTACCTTGCTGAATCTTATCACTGATATAATCTAACAATTGATACAATATACATTTTCATTCCCTACGTTCGGATGAAATCATTAACTAATAATGACCCTATGCTATAGTATTTCTTAGAATATTAACAAATTTTACTCAACAGGCAACCTCGCTGAAATTAACAATATTTTATTTATGTTAAAGTGGATTGTAAAAGCTTTTGTTTGTGAAATTTGAAAAACATTGTGTGATGCTACAAATCATTTCTGCTTACGCAATAGATTTATATCATGCAATTATCATACAATACTGAATACAGTAACCTATTAATGTGATGCAGTGACCTAATGACGTTATATGGCCTAATTAGTCGCGTAATTTTTTAATTAGGAAACCTGGAAATACATCATAGTTTTGGTGATAAATGTCCTGCTCTCATGAATAGAAAGGTATAATACATTTCCTCTGGCATAGCACCAAGTTTTGAGAAGTGAAAAGTACCAGGTTATTAGGTTATAAGAAAAACACATTTATTTTTCGTGTAACTTATACACTATATAACTTATATTACAGTACATAGGTAAAATATAAAAAATCGGCTTTTTCAGGCTATGTGCTATTGCAATTGAATTGTCACAGTTATTACAGAGTTTGTAATTATTGTTAATTAATTTGTTCTTCTCACACCCTACCCGGCCCTACGCTCAATTACTGTGGTCATTATAAAGCACAATTACATACGTATATTAATATTACTACAAATATTCTTCAAATTACTTGACAATTAGTGTTTCAATTTATTGATGGCGCCAGCAGTAAACCATTATTATTGGAATCACTCCAAAATGCACAATTTCTTTTAAACACACATGTTTATGGGAGAAGGTATTTGGCTTAAATTCTGTTGCTCGCGTTGAATTGAGACATCATAGGGCCAGAGTGAATTTGAAGGTAAAGTGGACCACTCCAATAAAGGAAGAAAGTTATAATACAATGTTATCCGACTAGTTATAGTTGTAACCTTGATTGCAAAAGTTTCTTTGCAGTAAAAGCCTAATTTACCGCGGAATGCGGATCTACAGTTTGTTTCAAAACCTTCATCTGCTCAGCAGTCTATAAAGCTATAAAGCCCACCAAGGAGACGACGACCTACGTCAGTTTATTGACTGTCAGTGTATAAGAGCAATTAACTGTGCCGGAAGTTAGATCTGGTATTTGAGGGTACCATGCACCCCACCTTGGTGGGGGGACAGTGCACCCGCCCCAGTTAATGACATAATGATCAATACAATACACGCCACGTCGTCCCTAATTAGCTAGAAGCAGAAAGTAGGTTACTATGGATACGGAACTGCGTGTTATTATATACTTGTATACATGTTGTGGTAGTACATGTTTACGTGTAGTGTAAGAGCATAAGAGCATTATAGACTGGGTTAATTTCGTGACGTTTAATTGCATTATATCCGGAACTGAACCGCTGAGGACGGAGGAGTAAACAAACTTATGGTTAAAATTTCATAATGGTGTGTTCATTTTTGTAAACCCAGTATCTTATACAAATTTAAAACCAGGAAAATAAGAAATAAATACTAATGAAATGAAGTAAACATTAAAAAATTGAACAATTAGGAGTATTAATAATATATGTATTAAAAGATAATACTACTTACGTTTTCAGTCTGATATTCAGCCTTGCCACGGAGAGCTCTGTTACCCTCACCTCTCAGCTTGTTTATTTGGGCTTGTAAGGTAAGCAGTGTAATTCTCATCTCACTGTACTGGGCCTAGTAATATTTTAATTAGTTAATTGGTTAATTAGTTAATTAGTTAAGTAGGTAGGTAGGTCATTTTATTACACGTTTTATTACACGTTTTATTACACGTTTTATTAGACATTTTACTACAAATCAATAAGCAAATTGGCTGGGGAAGTATGAAAATGTATTAAACTTGATAGGGACGGTTTCTCGGTCAAGCAATATGAACAAACAATATGAACATCATGGCCATTGGCCTAGTTGAACAACTATAAAAACTAGAAAAAACTCTGATGAGAGATCACCTCGACAGTGTCATGTTTCTCTTTTTCCACTCTAGCTAGCTTCTCCACCTCCTCCAACTTGTACTTGTAGTCTCTCTGTAGGTCTCTCAGTGCCTCCTCCTTCTTTGAGAACTTCTCACTGAGAACCACGAACTGAAGTTGTATTGTGACGCCATGATAGCAACTTTGTGACGCCATGATAGCAACTTTGTGACGCCATGATAGCAACTTTGTGACGCCATGATAGCAACATTGTGACGTCATGGTAACAGCATTGTGACGTCATGGTAACAACATTGTGACGTCATGGTAACAACATTGTGACGTCATGTTCACAACATTGTGACGTCATGGTAACAACATTATGACGTCATGGTAACAACATTGTAACGTCATGGTAACAACATTGTGACGTCATGGTAACAATATTGTAACGTCATGGTAACAACATGTTATGCGCATAATTACGAAAAATTATAATATAACATTGTTTTCGGCTAGAACAGTAGAACCTTACATATTGTTACCAGCCAAAGCATAATTTGATACTTCATTAAGACGAGGAACGCTTCATATCAGATTTTACTCCTAAATACAGACTTTGTAGCCGACATTGCTTTAAATTACTAATTTATTTTACTAACTCAAACTGAACCAACCTCTCTAATTTACAGCAATCAACATAATTCCACCAAATTTGTCCCTGTTATAAAACTCAAACCAGCACTGTCACAATAAACCATTGTTACAAATCTGTGTTCATGTGACTGACTCTAAGACGTTTAATTTGCTAACCGACGCTGTAACTCAGAAAACTTGAAACTTACAAAGATATAACTTCTTTACTACCAGAGGTTACTGAACTTTAGCGGACAAACAGTCCGCTGTATATTTTAAATGCCCAGGAAGTGGTATTAGTTTCATTCAAACTGAGGTGATGAGAGCACATCTAAAGGTCGAGTCTCTCCTAGGCACCTAGGCTGCCACTGTTTTAATTCCAAATAAAAATAAACCTTTTCAGCTAAGATTTGGTTATCGTCGTTTAAAGTGGAGTTGTTCTCCTTGAGAGTACCCAACTGACGGTTGAGAATTCCTATCTGATCATGCAGATCCTTTATCTGAGGTTGGAATGTTACACAGTTAGATTGAAAATACATAATATTTTCTAGATATGTTCATGAATGTTCCCCAATTCATAACTCACTGGACCAGCTCGAATTGAGTTAAGCAACGAAAATAAGGAGTATCTCAAGTACCTTGGCTTTATATTGAAACAACTCCACTTGCTGAGACCCGGAGCTATCACCAGCTGACTGTAGTTCCTGGCGCTGCACTTCTGAACGCTTCTGCAGATACGAAACCTGGCAATATGATTAGTAAATTGGTTAATTAGTTAATTGGTCAATTAGTTAATTGGTTAATTGGTTAATTGGTTAATCATCGATCCAATTGAATACGAGCCTTTTGATCGATTTATTTCGCGAAACTTAAAGTTGTCCATACTTCCTCCTCGAGTTCCACACATCGGTTGTTACGTTTTAACAGCTCGTTTTGGAGATTGTTTATCATAATCTGAAATGTAATCATTACGAAGCGAAACGTGAAATATTTGAAAGATCAAAAAGGAATATTTAGGCAAAAATTCTCGAGATATACAAAAATGGATCGATCGAATCGAAATTTCAAACAAAAAAGAACAGGTTTGTAAGAATGTTTTAACTTGAACAGCTATAATACTAATGTTACCTCGTCTTCTTCAGTTATTCTGAGTAATTCTCTCTGTAACTGCTGGAACTCCTCGTGCTGTGTGTCTCGGTTCAGACTCATGTCTGAAATTAATATAGCAATTAAATATGTATCACATAAAAACACTAATCTGTGTTTTCGTGCAAATTACTTTAGATCAGGTCATCAAGTTGTGAGCCAAAAAAATTTGAACGAGCAGTAAAACATGTATGATTTTATGATTACGAATCATTTTTTAAATGCAAAAGTTTACCAATTTTTTCTTGTTTGAATTTGGCGACTTCATCATTCAGTTTCACAATTTCGTCCATTAATTCCCCAACTCTTTCTGCCAAAACCAATTCATTTGCCTGGGAAGAATCTCGTTCCTGGATCAAGTGGGCTATCTGGTCGTTTGTAGATAAACTGAAATATAAAACTAATACAAAATCAATTCTGTAGTCTGAGTTAAAAATAATATTATGCACTAGTAACACATCGAAAACTATAACGGGGAATTCATTATTGTTTCTTTTGTAAATTTATACTTGACTAAAGCATTTTAGATCTGTTGAACGAAATGTTTGTAGTTGTTTAAAAAGATTCCATATTAAAACATTTCACGATAAGTATTGTTTGAGAGAACAAATTTAAGGAATGAATTTCAGTAACAAACTAACTTTTGGCGGTCCCTCTCATGCTTTGCCTTGTCTTGGAATTCCTTCAATTCCGCCTCAAGCTTTTGATTCTCTATTCGACAGTGCTGCTGTACACTGTTCAATTTTGCCTTGAGTGTAATCACTTCCCCTAAAAATTATATAAGAAGTAAGAAGTCTTATCTCAGATTAGATATTGGTAATACTCCCTAAAACTGTACAAAAACAAATTAAATTCTTCAAAATTTATTTCAGTGTTAGATGGATCACGATTCATGGAGCACAAATTACTTTTGCATTTGTAGATCAGGCACAAAGCACACTAACCCTCTTTTTCGATAGCTCTTGCTATAGCCTTCTCATACTCTGTAGTACGTTTATAGTTCTTGTCGATTAAATGATGGACGATCTCGTGGTAAGGAACTTGCTTTAAGTGATTAAACTCATCTGCCAGTAAGTCTTCCACTGCATTGCGCTGAAATTTACACAAAGTGAAGATGGCAAGTTAGCCTATAACACATAACCACTAACCAGTACCACTTTAAGCAGAACAATCAGATCCAGGAGATGGATATGTGGTGGACATTAACTTAACTTTAATCTTGATAAATTCAAAGGAAACAGAATCACAAAAGCATGATCTCAATTTTGTTTTACTAATTTATGTATGAACTTTCATCGCTGAATTCTAGTGTTGATGAAGTCAATGCCTAACCTCGTTCAAGTACTGTCTTTCTGATGATTTGAGTTCATTCAGTTGTTCAAATAACAACTTATTCTCCAATAAGACATCAGTGATATCTTCTTCTGATTTTGACATCACTTTTCACCCCACATACCTATACTAGGATACAAGGATACAAGGATACAAGGATACAAAAGTGATAATTATTTTATTGAATTCACAATAGTTATAATTCTGAAATAATTTAAGGTTACACAATTCTAGTTATTTACAGATGTGTAGAGGTGTAGGGATAAAATAGAAATGTTTTATAATACTATTTTTGAGGTCCTATAGCATTATGCATTGGCCAGTATTTGAGTGGAAATCTGGGCTCTTATAGTAGGCTGTAAAATTTTCGTTCACAGAGAGAATTGAATGGATTGCTCTTGCTGTGGCAGTAAATTTTGTAGGGTCTAGTGTTTTATCGGATAGCAAACCGGCTAGGTCAGTAATATTTTTGGGATGGAAGTTAAATTTTTCTCTAACTGAGGAGTAGAGTAAACAGTCAGTTAGAACATGAATTTCGTCCTCAATAGGCTTAAGCCCCTTGCTGAAAAAGCAAAAAGTGCACCATCGATGTTCTCTTGGTACTAGGGGGGTTTCGTAACGGCCCCTCTCAATGTAAAGATTGTGGCAACTAATACGAAACCTATGCGAATGTTTAATAATTGATTTAAACCTATTAGTAATTTCATAACTACAAATGAATACATTAATTGATGATGATACAGGAGGTACACATTTTAGTATGGTAATATGTTTGCAGTACATTAAAATGTAAATGCAGATGCACAGTAAGATTATCCTAAAAATATTCCTGATCGTTTGGCAGGGTCACTAGCCCTCTCCATTTAACACTCTATCACGGTTTTTTGATCATTTGCCAGAGTCAACTGAGAACATAACACAACTGTGTAACTTCACATAAATCCAATTGATCCTATCTCCCTGGACTTGGTGACACTGTAATTTGAACATTGCAGAAAGAAATGGTACAAAAATTCATACCAGTAGTGCTATATAAGTAGTTAATAAACGTTTTTTAGCAACATAATAATAATAATAATAAATTAATGATATTTTTATACAGCACCAAAAGGTTAAATAATTTTAATTTAACCCTTATAATGCTCAGCTGTAAATGATATCTAATTGACAGTGGAGGTTGTGCATCTTGCCTTGGACGGGGGTGAAACATGAGGATTAAACCTTAGAAATTCATAATGCTTCTCCTATCCTTATTGTTAACATAAATGGTTCCCTCAATTCTTCCTTTAACACTTCATTCGAAACATTCCAAAAATAATAATTGTTGACAATAATTTTAGAAATCACATCTTTCCTATATCCTTCTAATCTAACTTTAAAGCTTAGAACCGTCACAGAGCTCTTGATGTGGAAGTTTGTTTCAATACAATATCAAGTATGGTCTAAAAACGCCCAAAATAGATCTGAGATATTTTCAGTCTGTAGTACAATAATGATAGCAATAGTTTAAATTATGTTATGTGCCGCTGCAATTAGATTAAATTACTGTAACTTAAAATTGTTTGGAGTCCAAGTCTCTTTTAAGTCAGCAGCCTGTGATTGTATTAATAGTGCTTTCGTTCTCAATTTTATCAAGTTAATGGAAGTTTCTAGACAATTGCTTGAAGTTAAAATTTTTTTATGAACAGTGTTCCAAAGCTTTGCTGCATTAAACAAAAAGGTATTTGATTTATTTAGAAGAATAACTGTTAGACACGTTGCACGGTTTGAAATGTTGATAGCCTCATAAAGGGAGTATGGGCAGTGGTACTTGATAATCTTAGAGAATTCTAAAATGCAGTGATATTTGTACAAGTTTTGAGCCGTAAGAATTTTTAACCTAAGAATATTGTGATCAAGGGTGTCAAAGGCTTTGCTCAAGTCAATGAATATGCCTAGGACATGTTTATTGCTAGCCAGGGACTTTGTAACAGAGTCTATAGATTTGTGTAGAGCATGGGCGGTAGAATGGCCTTTTCTAAATCCAAACTGCGAGTCTGTTAGTACACCTTTAGATGTGAAGAAATTATAGAGCCGTTTGTAAATGACCTTCTCGAAAAATTTTCCAAATAAAGGTAATATTGATACAGGCCGATAATTTTCAATACATTCCTTATTGTCTTTCTTGTAAATAGGAATAACTTTACCAGTTTTATTTGATGAAAATCTTTTAAAAATAACTGGCTACAATGAGCATTTTAATAACAATAAATAGTAGAGATCAAAAACTTTAATTTCCAATAGAGAAATTTATAGAAACACACCTAACAAATTTTACCCTGCTAACAGCTATTAAAAAACATTAATAGTTTCGTATAAAAATTATGATCTAAACAATTACTACCCTTCAAAAATTAATAAAAAATGTTTATGTAACAAAATATTTGACTTTACCAGTCTCTTGACGTTTCAAAATGAAACTGAGGTTGAAGATGCAGTTACAAAAGGCCACTGGTTCTTAATGGTTACTGAAACAAACTTTATCCAAAATAAAAGTTTTAAAGCAGTCCATATCTGCTTTCCTGTGAACTGAACAGCTCAAATAGAAAAACTCCTTCCCTTGTTATCAATATAACAATATTTAGTTTAAAGGTGATTGTTTTCAAATAAACATAGTCCAATAACACTATACTACACTTCAATATGCTTGGTATTTAATCCTTTATCATAATAGTAGCAAAATTAGCAAAATTAGATGCTATAATAAAGCCTTATCTTTTCGAAAGATTTATCTTCCGCTTAAGATTTAACCCCTCGCTTTCTACAATTTTAACACACACACTTATAAATATATCGTCCCTTGAGCAGTTTAGTATGATGGAGCCCTGCTCAGTTGCTAGATCGACTATGGGCCTACCACTGTTGCACAGGGTGATGATTCGTTCCGCTTGACATTGTAGATTTGTGTCCACACGCTCACAACTTGATAGTAGGTGCAGTGCTGTTTGCTCATCCGAGCCACAGATGCACAGCGGAGAGGCCGCTGCTCTGTCAACTCTGAAGAGAAACGAGTTCAGTAGATTGTTCTTGTACATGAGACTCATAGCCAATACTTCCACTTCGCGGCTCACTCCAAAGGGGATGGGAAGGGGGTTGCAGGAGACTCTTGGAATATCAGACCATCCTTCCATAAGTAGTAGGTTTTGTAGACTTTCTTGCCAAAGTAGCTCTGTGAACTGCTGTATCATTCCCTTGGTGTACTTGTAAGTCTTTGGGGATAGTAGCAGAATGTGGTCCAGGTTTCTGTGGCTGATTTCACCGAGGTCACAGGCCTGAACTTCTGTGTTAAAATGTTCTGCTTTCCATTGTAGGAACTTCTGCACCTCTCGGAGATGACAGAGCACTGTTGGGTTCTTTTCATTTAGCTGAGTTTTCACAAAGTCATAGTGAATGTCATTTGAGTCATGGAGAACCTTGAGGTAGTGTTTGATCGAGATTATTCTTCCCAAAGTTTGGAGTGGTGGCACACCCAGAATGACTTCAAGTATTGCCCCATGGACGTTGAAAACAGCTCCAACTGCAGCTTTAGACACTCTGTACCATAGTTTGTTTATGTCTGACATATTTGAATTGTTCATCCATATGGTAGAACCATAAAACAAGGTCGAGAACAGAATTGTTTTGGTCACTCTCACTATAACTGCTTGGTTCATGCCCCAGTTTCTGTTTGCATAACGGCTCATACAAACCCAGCGATATACTAGATTGTTGTGTACATGCTTGCTATGCTGTTTGAAGGTTAACTTACTGTCCAAAATGACACCAAGAACCCTTGTCTGATCCGTTAACTGAATTGTTTTCCCTCCAAGGTTGAATGAAGTCGGGACTCCAGCATGATCATAGCAGTTGAAGCATATAATTTCAGTCTTATTTTTGTTGCAGTTAATAACCATGCGCCAACAAGAGGTCCAATATTCAATGCTGTCCATAGCCAGGTTGAGATAGAAAAGGCACTCTTCCAAGTCTCTACCAACCACTTTCACCGTACCATCATCAGCGAATTTTAACACATTTATTTGTTGGTACACTGAACAGACTGCCTCAATATCCATAATGAAGAATTTGAACAAAATAGGAGACAGCACAGATCCTTGTGGTAACCCAAGCAGTCCCTAACAGGGCCAAGGAATCCATTTATTAATAGGCACACTGTGCGACCAAATAGAAAACTGTCTATAGTTTTTAGGTAACAGCCATGAACACCAGCTCTCCAGAGCTTAACAACTAGTCCTTTTTTCCACACTGAATCAGATGCCTTTTCGAAGTCGATAAACAAGCAAAGTACCGTAAGCTTCTTTATAATATCACCTTTAATACCAACAGTCAGTCGATTGAGGTATCTAATAGTATTCTTGCCTTTTGAGAATCCTTCCTGATTTACATCTGTAAGTCCCACTTTCATAAGATATATATCAAGTCGTCGTGCCAGGGTTCGTTCAAACAGTTTCCCTACATATGAAGATATTGAAATGGGCCTGTATGCACCTGCTTGGGAGTATGATGACTTTCCGTCTTTTTTGAGATCTTAGAATCGTTCCACAGCCAGAGCCCATTTCGCAGGCAGAGTGTAAAAAGCTTGCTTAGTGCATGAATTGCAATCGGACCTAGTTTCTTTAGCATAGACTGATGCACTTCGTGGTTATCAAGACTGGCGGCTGTTGATTGAATGCCTTTCAGAGTAGCAGAGACCTCCCATGGTGTAACAGGGCAATAAAGGGTGGAGCTGTTGGTAAACCTATCTGCCATTGCCTCAGTTGCACTGGGTTGAAAGTTTCTGTATTTTATGTCATCATACAGTTTGTTTATATCCTGAAAGAAAGCATTATCGAATTTATCGATATTATTTTCGATGTGTTTAGCCTGGAAAAATGTTTCAAACATTTCTTTTTCAATGTCAGCATTTCCTGTAAGAATAGTTCCATCCTCCGATATAAGAGCTTCAACCATCTGATCTGATGGGGGTTTGAAAAGCTTATTAAACTCCTTCCAGAACTTTTTTGCCTGAGAAGTGTTAAGGTCATTTGTCTTTCGAAGAATAAACTGCTGACATGCCTGCTTTCTTGCTTCCTCAAATTCTTTCT